GGGGGGGGGGGGGTAGAGGACAGTCACCTTTCATAGTCTGTTGAAAAGCCCAACATTGATCAGCACTGTACAGTTTGCAGCACACACACACAATACATACTGATCTTTTCCAAGCCACACAGCTGCACAAAGCTCAGCCACTTCTCTTTCTGCGTTTCCTCTCCGCCTAGCACCAAGACAATGATGAAACTTATGGTGAGGTAGGTGACGATTAAGCTTATTACATTAATTAACACTAAAAGGTTCTTTTGACCCCTGTTTTAGATGTCATATTATGACACGTGTCTATTTAAGGGTCCTATGATGCTCCGTTTGACGCCAAAGTATTTCCTCCTGTGGGTGACAATCAAATGTTTGATCACCCACGTGAAGGTAGTAGTAGTAGTAGTAGTCGTACTAGTCGTAGTAGTGGTGGTGGCCAGGGCAAACGCATATTGATGTAGTTGGGGGCATATGCCTCCTACTAATTTTTTGTAATAAGGTAAAAAACAATTGAAATTTTATGTACGCGTGCCCCCGCCACCACCACTAGAAGACGTAATAGTATAATTGAAATTTTATGAATATATTTGCTAAAGGTGTGAGAAACTATTACGGAGTATAATATGAAAAATCTAAAACTAGAATTGTTTCACGAATGAAACTGAGATTTGGTCCTATAAGTTTCCCAAATCTCAAAAGAAAATTGGTGTTAAAAAAAATGAAAGGCTGCACACTGCACTGACCTCAGGTGATACGTGAAATGAATTCATTTGTTCTTTAGCCTCCTCTTCACCGGAGCAGTCCGAGCACACAAAATGCTCCAACTTTTTTATTTCATCAATGGACATGCCCATACAGGAAGGATGAAACCTGCAATATTACTAATTACGATAAATATGAGGAACACAAACCAAATCTGCTCAACTAGATACCAGAGAATTCAACAATCCTGTAACCGAGACATTTAATGATACAATGTGTTACAGCATCGTAAAAGTGCAAAAGACTCAAAACACCTCGTAAATAATAATAAAAATATGCATAAGATCTTATATCTTCATTCAAGAATGGCATAATTATTTCTCAATAAGTAGTTTCTCTTCAGCATATAATTACAATAAGTAGTCTCCTTTCAGCATATAATATCTCTGAAGCATATGATATATTGATAAAGCACAGAAAACCAAGATTTTTATCCCATATAGTAGGTCGACATAAACATGCAAATGATGTACTAGAATCTAAAAAGGGCCATAAAATGATGCAATTGCAATCAACAATTTACCCGAGTAAGATGGCACTGGAGACCAAAGGAGACTTTTAGCAAATGTATCAAGGAGGTGGTTTATAACACACACTAGAAGAGGTAATTAACATTTACAGGAGTACTTTGATAGATCAGTAAGTTTGTTAATGATGGAAGCAAAGAAGAACAAATAATTTGCATTTACTGTAAGAAGAAAAAAAGTACTGCATAGTAGGTAATGGACACAGTTGCATGAACACTCACAACTAACAGCATAAATAGCTGAAGTGGCTAAATTGGTTGCCTTTGTGGTTGAATATACTGGATTATTTTAAACCATCAAGATATTACACTATTTGACAAATATCTTTTAAATGGGCAAGGTTCTTTAGATATTGGCCCTGAATGTCATATTATGACATTGGTTCATTTGGGCACCTACCCCCCCCCCCTCTAACCCCACCTCAGCCCCCCTGCCCACCCCCCTCCATATCGCCATTTGGCTACAGTAAAGCTAAAGGCAAAAGTATCAATTCATTAATTTCAGTCATTGTAACAAAAAAACACATGCATGCACTACTACTTTTTGGCAATCATAGGGAATACTTTAGCTTGGTGAAACCATGGCTGATAAGACTGATGAGCATTAGAAGAAGTTTACCAAACAGGTGCTTATTGATGAAACATATTAGTATGCATTAATTGTAGATAAGAGTAAGACCATAAGAGATGGATTAACATTCCTTTGGTGATTCTGGTCGAATGACCTTAAGGGTCTATTTGATTGGAAAGGAGCCTTGTTTGGTTCAACCATATCTTAAACTTATTTGATTTTCCCTACGTCCCACAAAATATTTGTTGTTTGAAAAAAGGCGTGCTTTAAAAATGTGTAAATTTGGTGTTATTTTCTAATTTCTAATCTTCAATCGAACACATCATATCCTACCCTATTATAAAATATGGGCAAAATTAGAAAACAACACCAAAATTACACATTTTTAAAGCCCACCTTTTTTCAAATAGGAATCTTTAGTGGTACGGAGGGAGTATATTTTTTTCATTTAAAATATTATTTATTCTTAAACAGATTACTCCCTAACTCATAATATATGTTTTCTGGAAACAAAAACAAAAAAATCAAGTACTAAGCAACTTACATTAAGATAAAAAAGAATTGATAATTTCCTCTACTATCTTCTTCCTTCCACTCTTGAACCACACAAGGTTCACAAAAAACCTCGCCCCCCCCCCCCCACGTAAAAAACGCACCCCAAGTTAGTTGGACAACAAGGGGCGCCTGGATAGGTTGATAAATACAGATTTCCATCCGTTCATCACTCAGTTAATATTTAATTACTGGATTATAGTTAGAAGATTATTCGTTAACTGTTCAGGTTTTTTCAACTGGTGATGCTCCTACTAGCGTACTTGTGTGGGGTGTATACTATTATCACTTCTATCAATAATAACTGAGAGTTAAATCAGTAATTGCACATGCTACAAGTGGGTTATAGGTTGGTCAGTCATAGTTCTGTCTTTTATGACAACTGATTTCACCCATAGATTAAATTGGAGAAACAATTGATGGTCCTATTTATTCTTCAACTCATTAAGAGCCAACTTTCCTTATAAGCATTGCACCATAAGTTTCATTTTTATAACTTACTACCTACATCCCATGAAGGAGTCCTATTTTAAAGTTTATTGTCCTTAAAAAAAGTTCAATTTGAATAAAATGGGCTAATTTTCATCATATTTAATGTCTTTATATAAAAAAGTATCCCAAACAAGTTGAATGCGCTAAATTTAATGACACCAACAAAAAATAAAGCTATATTGACGATTTCCATTAGTTGTAGCTTACTAAAATTTTTCCAGCAAGACTTTTATGGGACAGAGGGAGTATAACTAATAAAGTGTGCTTTGTACTCGGCGTGGTTTGAGATTGAAATTTAATTTTATTTACCATGTCCTCTATTTAAAAAAAATAGTGACCAAATGATAATCTAAATAACAGAACCAATTAACTTGTTCAGCCTGGCATTCTAAGATGAAAGGAGATGAAATAGTGCAGTACAAATGAACCATTCATACCAATCTGCACAGCCTTCACACTGAACCATGAGATCATCAGGATTATAAGGCATTTCACACTTGCAATACCTTCAGAAACACAAGATTATTAGCCATTGCAGTAGTATCGCCTTCCAGTTAGAGGGCATATGGTTATTTACTTAACTCGGTTCATATTGGGAGAAAAATGATTACCTTTGGTTTCTTAGGTATTGTAAAATTACATTGGTAATATTTTGGATTATTTCAACTTTTCCCCTAATCATTTGACAACATAATTAATTTTACATTCAATACACCAAACGTTTAAGATTTAAGTTTATTTTATATACCCAGTTTACGAATATCTCATATAATCAAACTCTGTATTAGTTTCCATGAGGTTATCTTACAACTCCTTGAACCAAATGCTCTCCCTTGGTGAAATCAGCTGTCTTGAAGAAAAGATGAGAAACTCACACAGCGACACGATCAGGGGTGAACCCTCCAGTGGCAGTTTTGTACTCGAACCTACAGTAGTAATCCTCGGGGCCCACATTATCCAGCTTGGTATAGTTTTTAAAAGAATGCACCACACACTTTCCTTCTATAGTTTGTGCACTTTGCACATCATAGTGGTCTGACAGGAACAGTTCCTTAGAACCGTGAAACTGTCTGCGACCACCCTTTGACTCCTCCGGTCGGTAGTACCACCGCACATGTACCTTCACACTATTCCGATGGTCAGCTTCAAACTTCTCAACTCTTGCCACATACGGGAGGTTATCAGAATCTGATGGTCTCATTAAGACGCAATCCCCAGCTGCAAATAATTTCCAAGATTTTCAGCTCCTAATGTTATTCAGATGAAATTTTGGGGTGAAATTTAACCTACCTTAATCAAAAGAAGCTGTGCTGGCTTCAAACCATACATGATACATACAAGAAAAATCAGATACATCAAGGGAAACAGTACATGCATCAAAAACAAAGAATAAACAAGAAGCAACTTATAAGCAATTTTAGGGAATATGTCTGTAACAATAAAACATTGTTCTGTGTCGCTCAATCACTCACAGCTATCAATAAAACATTGAGCCACATTAAAAAAATTAAATCTACTCACAGGCAGAACAATGTGGTGAACCACCCCACCCCCCCCCCCACCCAAAAAAAATTAAGGTTCTACTTTCTTATTTGACCCCTCTAAAATTCAAAACCTAGCTCCACACTCGAATCTACTCCATGGATGACACATAGGAATGTTACTCAGAAACTTTACATATACATGTCTGCCTAGAATCTCTATTCATCTATATATAGCTTCCCGCCTTGATTAAATAACACTCCCTCCGTCTTTAAATACACTTTACACTTCCCTTTTTTGGATGTCTAAAAACAAATTTTACACTTCTCCACTTTTCATTTTAGAAAATAAACATGTGGACAACTTTAATTCTCTCCCAAATAAACTGCAACCACACACATTTCACTTTTCACAAAACACCATTCAATTTTCTAACACTTTTCTTAAACTGTGTAAAATCAAACTGTAAGGTTGATTTAAGGTCAGAAGGACTATGAACTACAAGGCTACTTGAAATCAAAACTTTATGGGGAAAAAGAGAGGAACTTTATACGACTACTGATATGTCAACATAACCCTAGTGTGCAAATACCTATTTGGCTCTACGAGTGTGCATCTAAATAAGCAATGCAACCACATCTACGTATAAAAAACTGGATATTTAACAGTAAATCCAGAAAACAAAACAGTCAGATTGCATTCAAAGCAAGTATGTTTTTTAATAACATATTCGATTCACCCACAGTCCACAGAAATAGTATAAGAAATCAGAGAATTTTTTAGACCAAAATCCAAAACATCACACAACAGAGAGATGAAATAGAATAGAAATGTGAGAATATCATTACGTCTGACGACTTTATTTGTTCCCCTGATAGTGTACGAGTTGAGGTCCTTCTTCCCGGGCTTCGTCTTCGCCATCACACCTCCTACAGATTCTGCAGCTCAGTCTCAGCGCTGGAACAGATTCCGAAAGAACTTGTTAACGACACACATGTAATGAAAAGAATCTGGAGTAAGAAATGATGAAATTCAGTTGTAGGGGAAGATATATGAGGTGATGAATTTCATTGTAGAATTTCCAATTTTGGGAGTGAGAAGCAGAAAACCTACCTGGGAAAATCTGGAGAGAGCTAAGGCGTAGCGAACAGCTATTCAGTATAGAAGGAGAAGATTTAGCGATGGCCTTTATTATTAAAAAACAACTCACCACGAATACTGGCTTAGCAAGTATAACCCATACCGAAATTTCCAGAAAAAACCGAGAATACTGAATCGAAAAATACCAAACCGAAAAAATACCGAGAAGGAACCGAACCGTACGGAATAGAATGATCGATACGGTATTTGGAAACGGTACGAGGTGACGTCCCATAACGAAAATCCCGAACCGAACATATATACTAAAATATTATGGAGTATAAGAATAATACCCCGGAGTAATATTTTTATATTCCTTTATTAAATAATAATTGTTTTAAAAAAAATTGGTTCAAGTTCTATTATGTGTAAATTATACTTTTAGTTGAATTTTAGTTTTTGTATATGAACGTAAAAATATTCACAAAGATTCGAAATACTTCTTTGTTGTCGTTCATTTTTTAGTTTGTGAAATATGAACTAAGTTTTGATACACATTTCTTGCCATTAAATATTTATTTTTTATTTTTATGTTTTTTATTTAAATTCACTTTCCATTTTCAAAAATAAAGGGGTATTGTTAAATTTTAAGATATAAAATAGGTATGTATATTCATCCCGATTTGTACCTTTGAAACCGATACCGAACCATCCCGAACCATACCAAACGGATATTTCGGGATAGGGATCGGTACGAAGTAATATCACATATCGAATCGAAATATTTGGTACGGTATCGATACAAGCTAAATATCGTATCATGCTCACTCCTAACAGGTACGTTTTTAGTCATATTAAAAAAAAAATACCCCCACGGCCCCACCATGAGTCCATGATAGGGTGCCTCAAAATAATTGTTATCAATGGTGTACCCATGTTTCGCACAGATGAGACGGATGATAATCATTTGTCCGATATAGATGATAATCATCTATGTGACACAGATTTGTACGAAGCATGGGTACACCCCTTGTAGTAATCACTGGATATTGTTTTCGTCTCTAGTCATTATTTAAGTACTATTTAGAAAGTAAAAAAGTTCAAGTACTATATTGAAAATAACATATATTTTATACTATTTAGTAAAAATTTCACATTTAAGATAGCATTATTGTTAGAGTCCATCCTAAATTCTACAGTACCAATTATTCACACGGAACCAAATTAAAAGTTCTCTTTGATTGTAAAAAGAATTTAAGGAAAATGTTCATAAAAAAGTTTAGAAAATATGCTAATTATTCTGGTACAACTTGAGAAGAAAAGTGGATTATTTATTTTTGGATGGGTAGATTATTTAAGTGTAGGTACTGAAAATATCCAAAAAATTACTCTCACAATCCCTATTTAATTTTCCTGTTTGAGCCTACAATTTTTACCAAAATTATTTAATTTTTTGAAATATTTTATATTTTTTTAATAATAAAAAAGTGCACCAAAAGTGTTACCTTATTGATAGGGGTGTAAACAAATCGAATCGAAACGAATACCGAAATATTTGAATTTGTATTTGTTTAATTTTTTGAATCCGAATCCGTATCCGAATATGAGACGAATTAAAAATAAAATTTGTATTTGTATTTCATTAATATTTGAAAAGTTATCGAATCCTAAACGAATATTTTAAATAATCATACTCTGTAATTTATATGATGGACCAGCATCGATTTTGAATATTTAACTTACGATATTTCTTATACTATATCTAAAAATATTAATACATTTGCATCTAACATAAATTATATTTATAAAATATAACTATTAAAAATCATATACTTTTTAAATTATCGTGTTATGCTAATTTGTAAAATTCTTAGTAATCCTTTAATATAATAAATGAGACTCGGATGCATAGAAATTCAACATTTGGCATGTCTATGTGGCAAAATTTAAACATGTCAGCATGCCACGTAATATCCGAGCAAACCAGTGGAAATAAATTATATACGATGCACCAGCGGATCTCCCGTTAAAAACAATTGACCGCAGATTTTCTACGCGATAATCATAGGACTTCAACATAATTCTTTCTTTCAGATTACAACAATACAAATTCCTATTATGATGATAATATAAAATAATTAAAAATAAATATGAAAAATATAAATACTATTTAAAAAATAAATACAATTTTTTTCATTTAATTTAAATAGAATTTTAGGACCATGTTACATATATTAATCTTTTATCTTACTTCTATATTTAAAAATTACATACTTTAATTAATAAGTTACAAAGGTTTATTGTGGAAATTCGTGTATAATAAGAGTTAAAATCAATAGAGTACATATATTAATGGAAATTAGAATATTGTTTTTCACAAAAAAGATTATTAAGAAACAATCCTAAATAATACTAAATTTGAAAATGATGATCACAAGTATATTACTCATCACCTTACTTATATTATGTATGTTGGATAATACTAATATTATTTTAGATCCGTTTACTTATATATGAAAATCATTAATTATGTGTCCTGGATAATCAATAATATTATATGTTACTATATGTTTTCAGATTACAACAATACGAACTCATATTACGAGGATAATATAAACAATTAAAAATAAATACGAAAAAATATAAATACTATTTAAAAAATAAAAAAGAAATATAATAATTTTCATTTAACTTAAATAGAATTTTAGAACCATGCCACATATATTGATCTTTTATCTTACTTCCATATTTATAAATTTCATACTTAAATTAATAAGTAACAAAGATTTATTAATGGAAATTCGTGTATATATAAGTTGAAATCAATAGAGTACCTATGCTAATAGAAATTCCAATACTATTTTTGATTCCTTACTTATTTGCCATACTTCCATGAGTATATATTATTGATCACCTTACTTATATATGGTCATTAACAAGATTTACCAAAAATCTTATTAAGAAACAATCCTATATAATACTAAATTTGTAAATTATGATCACGAATATATTATTCATCATCTTACTTATATTATGTATCTTGGATGATACTAATATTATTTTCGTTCTCTTTACTTATATATGGCAATCCTTAATTACGTATCTTGGATAATCAATAATATTATATGTATATATATGTATTCAGGTTACAATAATACGAACTCCAATTACGATGATAATATAAAAAATTAAAAATAAATATGAACAAATATAAATACTATTTAAAAATAAAAAAATATAATATTTTTAATTAATTTAAATATAATTTTAGGACCATGCTACATATATTAATCATTTACCAAAGAATTCTCACCATAATAAAGTCCTTCCTAAAATACAAAAGGTAAGTAAATAATTAAATGTGAAACTATCCTAATAGGGCCGTGCGTTAGAAAATGATTCATGCATAGCCATAAATGGTATGATATGATTTCCAAGAGTAGATTATTTCCTTAACATATGGTGATTGACAAAATTTACGAAAAATATTATTAAGAAACAATCCTAAATAGTACTAAATTTGAAAATTATGATCACGAGTATATTATTCATCACCTTACTTATATTATGTATGTTGGATAATACTAATATTATTTTGGATCACTTTACTTAAAAATGACAATCGTTAATTATGTATCTTGGATAATCAATAATATTATTCTGGATTCGTTTACTTTTAGTAAGGAATTCGTTATATCTAGGATGGACACAATATTATTTTGAATTCATTACTTATATATCTAACTGGCAATGAGTTAAATTGCTCACTTTTATATCCAAATTTAAGGAAACTCTTATATACTTGGGTCAAAATTCTATTATAAAAAGAGATATATAATGAGCAGGGCCGGTCCAAAGAAAAAATTGGCCCTGTGCAAAAACAAAAGGTTGGCCTCAATTGACTATCATATATGATAAAAGTTAAATTTAAAGAAGTCTCATACTAATTATTGAATTTGTTATAATGAGGAAAAAAACATCACTACCAGTTTACATAAAAAGAGACACTCTCTCAAGGCCGGTCTAAAGAAAAAATTGGCTCTGTGCAAAAACAAAGGTTGGCCTCAATTGACTATCATATACTCCATCCGTCCCAAAAAGTCTTTCCTGTTTACTATTACGGCCTCTCGATAACTCCAATTTGTTTGCGTGTTTTCATTTATCATTTGATAAAATAAAATATTCTTGTCACCTCTTATTTTGTAGAGTTTTCGATGTAGTTTTTAAATATAATTTTTTTATGTGTTATTTCCTTACCAATTTTCAAATAAAATCATTTTAAAATCTACGAGGTTTTGCACGTAAATCAAAAAAGGAAATTCTTTCTGGGACGGAGGGAGTATGATAAAAGTTAAATTTAAAGAAGTCTCATACTAATTATTGAATTTGTTATAATGAGGAAGAAAACATCACTACCAGTTTACATAAAAAGAGACACTCTCTTTGCACATTTTGATGCAAAATCTTCTCTCCCAATTCAAGCAATGCTTTAACACTTTCTACACTACTCTCCCAGCGAGTACTAGACAATGGCTTAAGAGTTAACCCCTTGACATTACTTTTCAAAATGTGCCATCTCTTTGTTGAATTAGAAAATATTGTGTAGATTCTTTGAACAACACCAAAAAAATCTCTAGCTTTTCTACAACCATCCCCAATATCACACAAAGTTAAGTTCAAACTATGACACTTCCACATGGAGTGTAAAATGCCCTGGGATTGACATCTAAAAACCTTTTTTGTACGCCTTGGTGTTTTCCTCTCATGTTGGATCCATTGTCATAACCTTGTCCTCGTACATTATGTATGTCAAGTTCAAGAGAATGCAACACACTTTGCAATACTTCAAAGAGACCATGACCTGTTGTATCATTCACAACCAAAAACTCCAAAAAAAATTCTTCAACTTTTGATGGGAAAACAGAAACATCAACACATCTTAATATTAAAGACATTTGTTCTTGGTGGCTCGCATTTGGAGTGCAATCTAATATCATAGAAAAGTATTTTGCATCTTTGATTTTCTTTATGATATTTGTCTTGATTGAAGAAGCAAGCACTTGAATCAATTCATTTTGAATTTTATGCCTAAGATAATGTTGATGAATCTCATTATTATCTATGCGACGAACATGTTCTTGAATGATAGGGTCAAACTCAGCCAACATCTCAATGAGTCCCAAAAAATTTCCATTGCTATGCGCATACAACTTTTCATTTTTCCCACGAAAAGCTAAATTATGTTTTGAAAGAAACTTCACCACAGCAATAACTCTAAAAAGTACATTTCTCCAATGCTCTTTATGCTTCAAAAATTGTTCTCGAAAAACTTTATCAATTGTCTCATTCATCTTTAATCTACGACGCAAATCAGCCCAAGCATTCATATTTATTAAGTGGTCTGCACTAATTTCATGTTCTTGAAGCCTAGAACTGAGGTGTGCCCAATCATTGAATCCCTCATTTACTAAAACACCTTTAACAACCCCTTTTCGAAAAATCTTACAACAAAAACAAAATACTTTGTCCAGCTCTTTAGAATAAACGAGCCACAGGCGATCACTTTTTTTCCCCATTTCGTAATTCTCTTGTGTAACTAGTTGAAGAAAATCTGCGCCCAAATTTATCTCTAGGACCATTTACTAGTGAAAAATCTCTTTTTGGGCCATTTTTTACCAAGCTATCAATCAAAGACGAATCAAGAGCATCCCAACTTCTTGGATCATATATATCTATTAAAGCAGATTTCTTCTTGGATCCTTTTCAATATTTTCAACAACAACATCTTCAATTTGATCAGTCTTATCTAAAATTTCAATGTTGACCTCACTCCCGTCTTCTAGTAAAACATCATCATTTTTGCATTCATTGACATGCTCAGATTCCTTTAGAATAAATTTATCTAGTGCTCCTCTTTGGGACATTGTAAGTTCTTCAAGTAAGTGTAGTATAAACATATTATGAGAAATTGATAACCATGTAGTATGTTTATTTATATTCTGATAAAAAATAACCCAAGCAGTAGATTTTTTAGAGAATCCTAAAATCTCAAATTGGCTAAATTGCTAAAGTGCTAAATCATTTGAAGATAATGAAACAATTAGCAAAAAAACTTTTAAAAGAAGAAAAATTTAAAAAACCTATTTTTTATCAAATTATAATTTATTAATCATTGTAATTAAAAATCAAATTTCATAAAACTATTCAACTATAGATCAAGAAAACATTGATCACGCATTTAACAACTAAAAAATATTAGGGATTTGATCATTAAAATCAATAAATTAAAATAAATCATATGTTCATGTTCATACAATCATACCTGAAGAGTGAAGACTGAAGGGTAATTAGCTGATGGAGAAGTGATGGACGGCGTAGATGTGAGGCGACGGCGCGGCAAATCTTCTTCTTCCTATGTCTTAGATCTTCCACCTTCCGACCTTCCTTCTTCAATTCTTCCGGTTTCTTTGCGCAGATGTGAAGATTTTTTCTATACTCCTTGTATTTTTTACCATTTTGGGCCTATTATTACATCTTAGTATACTAGTAATACTACTACCTCTAAAAAATAATTGGGCCCTTGTTTTTTTGGGCCCTGTGCAGTTGAACATCTTGCACAGGCCCAAGGCCGCCCCTGATAATGAGTTGAAATGTGACATTTACAGCATATTTTCATTTTCCATTTTAATACATAGCCATTCAGGACTAATTATGCAATAAATAAGCAGGGAATCGTTAATTCAACTTCAGCCTTTTGTTTTTAAAAGGATTGGTGTCGTAGGAGCATCCTAATTTTCAATTCCAATTAGGGCTATGGAAAATCGAGTTGACGATACATGGATAAGATCAGCTAGAAGTGCAAAAGAAAGGAGAAAAAAATACTTCAACGAAAAAAGGATAGAAAAGGTAAGTACTTTAAATATTGTTTTATTTTAATATATTTAATTTTGTTTTATTGTTTTAAGGTGATTTGATACATAACATTTTTGAATTTTTTAAAATAACAAAATCAAACGGGATATTTTAGTGACCAGAATATTTGTATTTAAAATTTATATGGTTGCTTTTTAATGAGCATTGAAAATTTTTTTATCTTCATATCTAAATCGTTATTATAGATGAATTAATTCATGTTAAATAAATAAAGTTTTATACAAAATTTAAAATTAGATGTCAATTTTAGAAGGATTTAACAAATTCTCCATGTGAAAATGAACACTCTAAGAAAAGATAAAAATATGTGTACTTTTTTTAATTATAGTCGTGTTATTTTATCAATTATAATCTGCATCCGTAAAAAAATTAAACGTCGTTCATAGGTTTCATAGAAATCATGGATAATTAAAATGTATAATTTTTTATTTATCTAGGTATGCATATAGATCACTGATTATTTTTTTATCAATTTTATATTTACATCAATAGGAATAAAATGATGTCTAACCATGACTCTTTAATTTCATTTTTCTATATTTTTTATGAAAAAAATACGTTATATATATTGAATATTTTAAACAATTGAATGAACGAATATTAACAAAGTTGAGTAAAAATATATTCATATTTAAAAAAATGAAAAATTCAAAACATTGCAATAAATTTTATATGAAATGGGTGAATATAAAAAATGTGAGTACATATTTTAAAATAATATGATATGCATGAGAGGAAAATAAATTTAGGCATTGATATGGAATGATCAATGTAAATAATTCAAAGTTCAAATATAATTTTTAAATTGGAAAATTTACTTATATCTAACACGTAATCCATTTATCAAGATGGCAACTAAGCTGTGTTCAACTGAAATAATTGATACTCCGTATATATATTCATAGTAAGAGAAATTTACCTAAATAGCACTAAAACATAATGACTTTCCCTAAATAGCAACATATGTTTTTTATTTCTCAACGTAACACTTTTAGTCATTATCCATTAGTCATTATTTAGATAAATGTTCACCGTCACAGGAAATTATTTCTCCTTCTAGACATTGTTAAGTGTTATTTAAGGGATAAAAAGTTTAAGTTTTATATTGGGAAATGACTTTTTTAGTGCTATTTAGTGCAGATATGAAAAATGAAAAATTTGAAAAATTATATTTGGAAAAAGTTTGAAAAATGAAAATTTTGAAAAATGAAAAATGAAAAAAATGAAAAAGTTTAAGTCTTATATTGGGAAATGACTTATGTTTGAGAATATGAAAAATTATTCTTTTTTCGAGGATAGAGCATTATTGGCACCAACTTTCGAAGTAGTTGAAATGATAAATGAATTTGTTATGTCTCTCATTCATGGTGATGAAAAGGAGTACTTGAGTTCTGATTCTTTGTGCCAAACCGAAGCAGATGTAGGTGTTGATGGCGATTGGATAACAATTGAGTTTTTGAACGAAATCAAATATTCGGGAATCCCAAACCACAAAATAGTCTTGTAAAACGGGTACTGATTATGCTATTGAGGAACATTGACCAAACATCTGGATTGTGTCATGGGACAAGATTAACCTTTCAAGAGCTGCAAAATAATGTTATCGGTGCAATTGTGGTTTCGGGAAATCGAGTCGGGAAAAAAGTTTACATCCCTAGAATAAATTTGGTATCATCTGATCCAGGGCTACCCTTGATGTTCCAATGAAGACAATTCCCGGTCGCCTCATGTTTTGCTATGACTATAAACAAAAGTCAAGGTCAAACATTGTCATTTGTGGGATTATTTTTAACCAAGTCAGTGTTCACACATGGTCAACTATATTTTGCTATTTCACGAGTGAAGACAAAGACATGATTAAAAATATTAGTTTTAGATGGCAATGGAAACCCTTGCAACCATACCAAAAATGTTGTATACCTTGAAGTCTTTCAGAAAATTTGGTATTAAAATAAACATTGTTAACTCTACATTTTGTTCCTCAAATATTATTTATTTTACTTTGGCTTTTTTCATTTGTAGTATTAAAAATCATGTGAGCAATATATTTTCTTTATTACAAAAAATAAATTTCATTGAAATAATTTAGAATCAACATAAATTTCTTTCGACCACGTGCATGACACGGGTCAGAATACTAGTTCAAATACATTTTATACTATATTAGTTTGCTTGAGAGTATCTCCAATGGAGAGTGTAAAAAGTGTATATTTGAGCATATATTGTTAAATATATACTTTATACACTAAAATAGGTACATTTTTACCCCTCGCATGGGTAGTGTAAAAAATGCACTAGGAAAATGCTAGAGTCACAAATAAATAGTTCACAACCTTCACAAACTTGCCTTTTGTTGATTTTAAATTAAAATATCTTTTATTATTTGATTGCGTCTTATTTTTAAAATTATGTTAAAAAGACAGGTTTGTTAATTTTGTGAACTGTTTGTTAGTGACTCTAGCATTACTCAATGCACTATAGCCCAAAATGCAGTAAAATTCTCATTATATATATATATATACACACACACACACACCCTTCATTCACTAATTTTTTTATTTCATGTTTCTTAACATAGTTTTAAATATATGTGTCATTAAAATTTTAAAAATTATAAATTTATCACAAATAAATAACTTAAAATATTTAAATAAGATAAAAGTGTATAATCTAGAATATATGGTTGGAGTGGATATAAAAAATTGGATGTGTAAAATATTATTGGTAGTGTAAAATTGACTATACCCTACCTATTTTGACAGTTTCCAGTGTAGATGCTCTGACTATTGATGTTGAAAACATGATCTCTCTCTTTCTCTCTCTCTCTCTGTGTGTGTGTGTGTATATATATATATATATTATATTTCTCTTATTTCAAAAAAGTTTTCATGTAGTTTTAAAATAAGTAAATTTTATTTTTTATTTCAATACCAATATTTAAATAAAATAAATTGAAAAATTTTGATATTTTACCTTATTTTTTGAAATGTGGTAAGATGGAGGGAGTAAGTGTTTGAATACTCAACTTTGAGAGAACTTTTCGAAAAGATTGAGACTCGTAGTATTCATATTGCTAGCCAATATTAATCAAATATCCCCTCCATCCTATATTGATCTTTTCACTTTGATTTTAGTTCATTTTTAAAGGATTGAATTTTTTCACTTTGACTTCCAATTATACCCTTTATTTAAAAAAACTGCAGTGGAAAGGAGTTAAAAAAAACTGTAGAGCAGTTCTAAAATGGAAGAGCACAACCACAGCTTGGATTTTCGAATGATGCATTATCACATAGGTACAAATATTACAGATTTTGGCAATACCACCAAAATCAAAAGTTTAAAGATTTTACAATTAGGAGGGAAATTTCTAAACATTTCCATCCAAACAGAAACATAAAGTACACCAAAGCCTAGACCTTATAAATAATCTTATCCCTTCTAAAATTAGAAACTCCACCCCACAACAAAAAATTCTGCATCTCCTGTCCTTTCTTCATCTCACATGCTTCCTCATCACCCCGCTGTTCCTCACCCTGATGTTCCTCACACTGTTGTTCCTCCTCACACTGTTATTCCGCCTCACCCAAGCAGAGATGAGAATCTGCATAGAGAAAATGAAATAAGGAGCAAAAGGCTAACAAATTCTGAAAGACAAAGAATTGTAGAAGCAATCTTACCACACACAAAAAAAAAATCAGGTCAGTACACAGCTCAGAGAAGAGTTATCAGTAAGGTTGCTGCTCAATTTAATGTTTCAAGAAGATGTGTAGGGGAGATATGGAGTAGAGCTAGAAAACAAATACAGGAGGGTGTTGCCATTGATGTGAATAGTCAGGTTGCAGTGAAGAGTGGAAGGAAAAAGAATGGTGATAGACATAGAGTCCATCCCAAACATTCCTCTAGCCCAAAGGACAAGCATTAGGGCCATGGCTGCTGCCTTAGGTATTTCAAAGTCCACATTGCATCTTTGTATTAAAAGAGGATTGGTAAGAAGTCATTCAAATGTAATTAAACCATTCCTAACTGATGCAAACAAGTTGCAAAGATTGCAATTCTGTTTAAATCAGATAGAACCCATTAGCATCCCATGTAACCCCACGTTTAACACTTTCCATAATGTTCTTCACATGGATGAGAAATGGTTCTTTATGTTCAAGACATCACAGAAATATTACTTGACACAGAATGAAATGGATCCTTACAGAACATGCAAGTCAAAGCGTTTCATTACTAAGGTCATGTTTTTATGTGTGGTTGGTAGACCCTTAATATCAGAAAATGGGGAGGTTTTGCAGGATGGAAAAATTGGAATATTTCCATTTCTTGAAACTATGGAAGCTAAAAGAAAGCGTAAGAACAAAGAGGCAAGTGTTTTAGAGGTGAAGCAACTTCATAGTGTCACCAAAGAAGTGACTAAACAAATGTTGGTCACCCAAGTCATCCCTGTAATTCAAGAGAAATGGCCTTCCATTTTAGGCAAAAACATTGTGCTCCAACAAGATAATGCCAGACCTCACATTTCTGCCACAAATCCAGAATTTATGGAAGCATCTACTGCAAATGGATTCAACATAATCTTAAGTAACCAACCCCCAACTCTCCAGACCTCAACATCCTAGATTTGGGGTTTTTTAGAGTCATTCAATCACTAAAAGAGCAGCGTGCTCCTAAGAATGTGCCACATCTACTAGAAGCAGTTATGGGTGAATATGAATCCCTAACAACAGAGACTTTAAACAAGGTATGGTTAAGCTACCAAAATGTGATGTAGGAAGTCATGAATGATGAAGGAGGGAACAAATACAAGCTACCACATATGGAAAAGGACAGGTTGCCTAGACAAGGAGCACTACCGGTGTGTCTGGATGTACCCTACACATTTCTAGAGAAGACTGTAAGGGTGCTTGGTCAAGGCAATGGACAAAGTGAAGAGCAAGTGGTACATGAGTTCATAACTGAAGATGAAGAGAACTTCTCATCTTCAGAGATGAACTAAGTGTTTATCATAACACTAAAACTCTTCTTATTTTTTCTTATTTTGTGAATGATTGGGTACATTTAACTTTTGCTTTTTGAATTTTGTAATTGTAGATTGTAGGTAGTGAAGAGTAGGAAAGTAAAACCTTGACCTTTTTGTTTTCACATCAAGGTAACTACTCAATATGTACTCCAGTCAGTTTTCTTTCACTACCACTCACTCTATGTACCCTAACAAACAACTTGAACATTAAATGTAATTTCCATAATCATCATAGCTGTGTATGTAGAGTATACTTACGGAGTATGTGTAACTTGTGCAAATATAGAGCACTTCTAATAATGGATACAGTAAAGCAAAAATAAAGAGAAACTTCACTTTGTATTCTCGGTAGGACAGCAAGCCTGGAAAACGGTGACCTCGCCAACCCCTGTGCCAGTGGCATTGGAGTGGCTGCCCATCTCAGTATCAGATAGTAGGTTGCTGTCATGCTCCTCCTCAACGAGCTGGTCTTCATCCAATTCACTCCCAATGCCTTGCATGGGCTCATCCTCCATCTCACTTTCCTCGTACTCACTGTGTAACGCCCTGAGACCTAGTCTATTAGAATTGATTAATTTAATTAATTAATTACTAAATCGGACTGGGGTTGGGAAAATAAACTCCTTAGGAAAATTATTTGATCACGTCATAATATTCATCTTGACTATCTGATTCCAGAAACGCAAACGGATCTCAAGTCAGACCCGTTCAGGGGAAAACGCGTACCGTTCAGGTCAGATTTTACACAACGGAATAGAATTTAGGGAGATAACTCCCCATTTAATTCCCTTCAATTCCCACGCCACACACACACCCCTCACTTGCCCCACTTAATACCCATCATTATTCCTATTAATTCTCCCTTAAATATACTAGGCTTCTTCCCCTCCTCCTCCCTTAGAAAATTGTAACCCCCAAGACAATCACACACACTCTCTTCCTCTTCCTCTTCCTTTGATTTTCAGCCAACCAACAGCAGCCAGGCGAAGAGTGTTCCAGTGAGAAGGAGAAGAAGAAGGAAGAAGAGAAGAAGGATGTTTACGCAGGAAGTCGTCCGTTCATTCGTCCGTTCATTAACGTCATTCATTCATTCGTTTCATCATTCTGTCAACCCCTTTGTTTAGAGGTGAGTACGTTTCCCTCTAACCTTAGAATTCATAGTATAATCATATCGTTATATTCATAGGATTACCCGACTAAACCTACGTGTATCCACGTTATCGTGACTCTTCGTTAATTGGACCTTTCGATTACGTATTTGATAATATAAGCATTTTGAAACCTTGTAAGTTCATCGATTATTTAACATGGAAATGTAAACGTCCATTTCTGAAACTTCCGACGTGTTGATGACAAACAAACAGACAAATGGGAATCAGTGTGCCTTGATAATCAATTTACAGGACATTATAATCGACTATCAGACCACGCTGAACTCCTCAGTTTATACGGCAAAGCGTGATAATCGATTATCACACATGTGATAATCGACTATCAGGCCCTGCAGATTCTCGGGTCAGAGGTTGGTTTCATTGATAATCGATTATCACATAGCAATAATCGATTATCAGGCCTCTCTGAACTTGGGTGTCCTGAACAAAATACCTTGACAATCGATTGTCATTAAGTGACAATCGACTATCATGGCCTGCGGAGCTTTGGGAACAGAAGCTGCACAACATGATAATTGATTATCAATAGTGGTTAATCGATTATCAGCCAGTTCTAAACTCAGTTCTACCATGTTGAACAAGCTGTTTTCATATGAAATCAAACATATAGTTATGCGTTGAACATAACTTCATTCTCCAACCAACGCATTCATATCATTATGTATATCCTAGACGCATGTTTAGGATCATGACATACTTTGCATACCGCGACAAGAGGCCAGGCCTAGTGCGCCTCTTCCGCGGGCCCGTCTAAGAACCTGCGGGATCCAATGGGTTTTCATCACGAAGGGCTTGTATACATACATGGTAGCTAGGCTTACCTATCACCCACATTCTAGTCTCCATCGGGATGACTAAGGCGTTCCTCAGCTCATCTACCGCGTGGGGATGATCACCGAAGGGCAGGGGGTCCCTGCGCAGTCTAACTCATGCATCATGAATATTTGACATTTCATCGTTTATCGTTACTCATCTTGTTTATCAAAACTTGTGTGGTATCTCGTACTTTAGTACAGATACAATTATGTATATATCCATGTGAATATATTATGTGTTCTACTGTTAGATCACCACTCAGCTTTTCCTGAGCGTATAACGTTGTTTTCCTTTGCTATACGGAAGTAGGCTAGAGGATCCTGGAGCCTGACCCAGACGACTGGGTGATCGGAGTGGCGGATGAACGATAGTGGGGACTTGTTTAATTATCCATTTAATTATGAAAAACGTTTTGGGCTTGAACCCACTGTTGTTACACTTACACTATTAATGACTTAACGGTTTTATTTACATTTACTTCCGCTATAAACATTCTCTTTAATTGAATTAATTTCCATCATTTAATAATTTATACATCAAGGGATTTCCGTTACAAGCAGCGCAAGGGTTTTCCTTGTAGACGGCCTTAAAAACCGTCTACGTAGCCTCTCCGGCTCGTTGGGCCGCGGTGAACTGGGTCCGCGGGACAGAGGGTGTTACACACTATCGGCGATGACCCAGCCTACGTTTGGAAGAGGATTGGAGTAAGATCTAGCATCATCCGACTCACTCTCGCCCTCCTCACTTTCAGGGATCTAAGATTCAAAATCAAATTCTACAGAATCCATATGAGACAAGGAAAAGTGTAATTCACAGAGACACGGAGAGAGGGCAATGATGAGAGATGCAAGAGAAGCTAGAGATAGATCTAGGTTTTAGAGGAGGCGGAGAAGTGTAAGAACGGAGAAGAGGAAGAGATAAGGTCAGAATGAGAGAAGGAGGAGTAGGCGGTGAAGATAAGGCATGCGTAAATGGGGTGGGTGGAGTAATAAATATTTTAGGGGTATTATAGTCATTACATGTGCATTTAATGTGTGTGGGAAGATGATTTTAGGATGGAAAAAAAAGAAGTGGAAAGATGATTATAGAACGGAGGGAGTACTTACTTTCTAGTGAACTTGAGATGTCCCTAACATTCAAACACTAGAGTTGAGTATTTGAATACTCTATATAGTAGGGCATTCAAATACTATAATTGAGTATTCAAATATTTCTTGAAAAGTTGTGTTGCTTCAATGGTTCATCTGAACTGATACGTCAGTACTCGAACACTACACTTCAATATTTGAATACTAGATGAATAGTTTAGCTTGTTCCTCTCAACAAATAAAGTGTCTAGTTGTGAGATTTCCTCTATAAATATGATCTATGTTGTGATTCAAACACCGAATCCACATACATGTTTAATTTTTTCGAAACTCACGTCTTATCTATTTGAAATATTTTGATAAACGGTAATGCCGCTGAAATTACTTTAATTTGAAAGTGATTCTACTCCATAGGTCTCTCATGCTATTTCATATGCTACCAATCCTATTCAAAACTACACAATAAGGCCGGCCCAAAAATGAGAAATACTAAGGAATGCCATGTGCAAAAATTTATTTTGCGCCCTATTTTTTTGCGGCGTATTTATGTTTTTAGAGCCCGCTTCCATGGCCGCTGGATTCCAGTGGCCACGGAAGCTACTGTCCCCCTACGGAGCTCTGTTCATAAAATTGATGATTCCTACCCCCCTAACCCCTCGCCAAGTCCCGACCTAAACTAATCACCCACCTATGTCAATTGCACCTCGTAAGTATATTTTTGACTTTAAAGTCAAAAAGTCTTGACTTTATACTTACGAGGTGCAATTGACGTAGGTGGGGTGATTAGTTTGGATCGGGACTTGGCGAGGGGGTTTACCGGGGGGGTTAGAGGGGGTATGAATCATCAATTTTATGAATGGAGCTCCGTAGGGGGACAGTGACTTCTGTGACCACTAGAATCTAGTGACCATGGAACCAGGCTCATGTTTTTAATAACCATTTTTATAACGCCTTTACTACTAAGCATTTAACAATATTGGATTGAATGGATTCTTTTTCCATCATCTCCGATGGAGCCAAAATTTCATCATTTTTTGGCTTTAGGGTGTGATGGAATAAAATAAAATGGATCTCTAGACTATTTGCGTTTCTTTAATTAATGAAGAAGAAGTTAGTCAAGCAATGTAATTTTCGACGTTGATCCGGGGGTCTTTTTGGAAACAACCTCTCTACTTTCGAGTAGGGGTAACGTCTGCCAAGACCCTACTCTTGTAGGATTTAACTGGGTTGTTGTTATTGTTGTTGTTCTTCTTGGATTGAATGGATTCTATTCGGGTCTCGGGAGTGCCCTGCTCCACAATCTCCTCATAAATTTCCAACAAAAGGTAAACCTTATTAGAATCACTTCAGATTTTTTTTCCCATGCATGTGAACATGCACACACTGTTTTGTTTTGATGAGCAGGTCTTAATTTGGAGTTGAAGCTAGGAAGCAATTAATGAAAAGGTGGCTCCCCAGACCCCGATCCAACAGGATAATGAGATAGGAGGATAAATCATGATATAATCTTAATCCAGTCCTTAATTAGAGAGGTCGTCACGTGCTTGATGCGTACAAAGAACTACGGAGTATTACAAAAAATAGAACTCTCACACTCGCCGTTGCCCGGATTCAATCTCGAAATCTGAGTTTTGACATCCTCTCTTTGGACCAAAGTCAAGGAGCAATTACTCCCTCCGTCCTGAAATGTTCTTCCCACTTACTATTCACAAGGTCAAACTTTAATCATTTTTTTTTACATATTTTCATTAAGTATTTGATAAAATAATATAGTCTTGTCACCACTTGTTTTGTAGAATTTTTGATGTAGTTTTTAAATATATAAATTTTATTTTTTAATTTTATACCTACAATCAAATAAATTAAATTAAAAATAAAATTGATCAAATTTCGTAAACAAAACCGGGAAGAACATTATAGGACGGAGGGAGTAATAAATATGAAAGGAAGGGGGGAAATGAAGCCCAACAAACGAGGCTCATCGGTGTGCGAAAGGAACACCCGTTTATTTTTTACTATACGCTGTTATGTGGGGGAGGGGGGGGGCCCTTAAAGTATAGGGTAGCTGAGTGCAGTAATTGCAATTTACACCCATTTAAACCCTGGGCCCCTGCAGATGCCTAAACTTCCCTCTATCTTTCTTTCTTCCTTTCTTATACAGCTCATTTCGCCAATTACTTCAACCCCTGTACGAGGAACATATTGAGGGAGAGAGAGAGGGAAGGAATTGAATACAACCCCTCCATTTAAAATTCACGCTATAAATACACAGAGACGATAATTGTCTGTGTATTGTACATACACGTTTGTTTTTTGTGTGCTTGTAACACACTTAATGTGCAAGTGGTGTACATCAAGCGTTACTGTTAAAATTTAGTACTCCGTATTACTCACCGCGCACAAGAAGCCCCTCGCGAGGGAAGAGTAGATTGAACGCAAACAACCAAAGAGAAGGAGAGGAATGAAAAAACAAATAAGGGTGAATCTATTCCAATATCAAAATTTGATACTATATATCATATTTTCAAAAATATACATTGATAAAAGTTAATTAGTTGTATCCATACCTAATACACGAGTATTACTTTCATTTAACTTGGGGTCAAATTTAACTAATTTTGATGGAAAAAATTTAAAAGTGAACAAATATTCAAGGAACGTAGAAAATAAAATTTAGTCCTCATATTAATCTGGAAATTAAGTGTTCATTTGGTATAAGGAATTGGTGGAATTGGAATTGAATTGGAATTAAAATTCCATGAGATTCAATTCCATAGAATTGAATTCTGTCAATTCTAATTCATTTTTTGCACTATCAATTCCAAATCCACATAATTTTTGTGCTACCAAACACCAGAATCTCAATTCCAATTCCATAGTTTGAATTCCATGTAGCAAACGGGACCTAAATGAATCATGAGCCAGCAAATCTTCACATTCCATAATAAAAACTTTTACTTGTTCTAAAAAATGCCACATTCTTCTTATTAAGAAAAAGAACATATATGGGACTAATAATATTATTTTCCTCTGATCTCCCAGCATAAATAACTCCAATCACAGATATATTGCCTTTTCAATATTTCTTTTAAACTCTGAGAAAATCAAGAAGCAAACTAAGACAAGTTTCAAGGGACATATGAAGTAAAAAAAGAACAAAAAGAAAAAGGTAAAATACAAAATTCATAGCTAAAGTAAGCAATCAAATGAGTAATTAATTAATAATGAACACTAATTAACGTACACACGTTCTTAGCTATCCTATATATGAATTAGAATCATTAATAATGAGGAATGAATCATGGATCGTCTATAATCTCTTGTTGTGGAGTGGGTTGGAACCTGTGGGCACTCTCCTCTTATCTGATTCTGAATCTCCGGACGCCACCGGATACCCGCCGCGCCAGAGCGGCCGAAAAGCATGCACCTCGGTACGAGGGGAGGGGACGGGGAACCCCACCATCGCCGGCCGCCTGCTGGACTGGTGAACGGACCCCGGAAAGGAGGGTCGGGCCGCGGCGGCCGGCGGCGTTGGTGGGGCGAGGAGGAGGAGGAGGAGGGCAATGAGAAAAGATGGTGAGATGTGAAAGTGATGCATCATGGTACTATTAGTATGTAGTAGCTAGCAGAATGAAGTAGCTGGCTGGCAGTATATATTTTTTATATGGAGATTGAGGAATGGAATGCAAGAAATTTAAATAATGAAGTGATGAGAATGTTGTTTTTATTACTATTATTATTACTCTCTCCTTTACTTTAAAGAGTTCCTCTTTCATTTATTTCATTTTTTCAAAACACCTCCATTTTTATAAAAACTGATTCTTATTTCTAAAAAAATGATTCTTATTTCTAAACTAAGTCGTTGCAATATACTCCATTCAATTTTTATTGATATTATTATTATTATTATTATTATTATTATTATTATTATTACTCCCTCCGTTCTCAAAAAGAGTTTCTATTTTGACCAAATATAAAAATAAGAAAGTGTTAAATTGTACGGAGTAGTTGACTTCCAATTTTGCCTTGATGCGGTGGGTAAAAGTAAGATGTGATGGATAGATTGTTAGAGAAAAAGTATGATGTAATAAAGTAGGGTAT